AAAAGGTAACAGAAACAAATGCAAACAAATAACCCCATACCACTGGTCAAAGATCAAATTAGATAGCCCTTTTAAAACTACAAAATGCTCTGTAAATACAGATTAACAGCATCTCTTTCTCCAAGTTAAAAGTAAACCTGCCGGGGTGCTTGGTCTTTTGATTTCATCACAAAAGGGCAAATCAGAGACAGTACTTCACTGGGCCTGGGTCAAGATTTCATCACATTTCTGTCAGTTCGTCGAAAAACACTCCCATGAGTGCGCTTCCCCAGCTGACAGACGGACAGACGAGGTACTGGACAGAACTCAGGTGTCTGTGAGCCCTGCCTGGCCTGCTCCTCCTCAGTGAGGGGGGAGCCAGGGGACTCCTCTCCTTTCCAGAATCGGAGTGCATTTAATTTCCAAACAATAGGGCTTTGGTCCTGGGTCCTGGTCGTGTTCTCATCATCAGTTCCAAGGCTGCTGCTCCACTCCACCAATGCCCTTGTTGACATCTGTCACGGAGAACATTTCCCGAGGCCACGAGGCAGGCCAGGGTCCCTCTGGAAACAGGGAGGTCAGAGCTGGAACTCGTTCCTACCCTGCGGCCTGCCTTCTAAAATTCTGGGGGGAAAATCCCCCATGTTAAGGTAAAAGCAAAGAAGACGGGGCTCCAATGGCAAAAAGTCAACCTCACCCTCGCAGCCCCCTGAGATGGGCATTATGAGCACTAACATTTTACACAGAAGAAGGCTGAAGGGCGGAGTGGTTAAAAAAAAGCAGAACAGGTCAAAGTCACACAGGGAGGTGGTGGGAGAGGCAGACATCAGCGACCTGGCAAGAGCGCACTCAGGGGTGCCACGCCTGACCCCACCTGTTTGCTCTGGTTGGCCAGGGAGTAGAGGTCCCCATTCTGAGGACACACCCACGCACCTGAATCCCAGAGCCCTCCAGAAAGGATGTGAGCAACCCACTGGCCTCTAACCGCTTCTTTCAACCACACCAAGCAGCAACCCCCCCGTCCCATGTTTCTTCTCACACTGGGGCATGCACACACCTAGGCTGACAGCTCTAGCGACAAAGGTCTCAAAACAAACATCATCTGCCGTTTCTTCAAAAACCACTCCAAAGAAAAAAAACAAAACCACTCCACAAGGTTCCATCTGCATTTCCTCTTTAGTCACGTTTCCGCCTCACCCACCACACCCCCGTCCACACACCCACACCTTCCCACAGCCACACACAGTGAGTTCAGGGGAAGGAAACCAAGATATAAATGAAACTCCAAATGTAGACAGGGGGGAGAATATCCGTCCCTTGACCCTACAGGCCACCCTTGGGCGCCTCAGTTCCTCCTGCCTGCGGAGCTTTCAGACCTGTCACCAGCTGGAGAGGGGTGGGCACAGCATGGGGAAGTGAGTACCTTCTGGAACCCCTCAGAGCAGCCACAAAGAGCCAGCGCACAAGCTCAGAGTCCCTGTGGATGCCAAAGTCAGGCTGCTTAAAGAGGGAGGGCTTCTTCGTGGCCCACCTCCGCAGAGTGCCCAAGACCCATCTTCCCACCCACAAAGAGTCAGTGGTTTGGGATTTTGGAGGCATTTCTCTTTTCCTCATATGTTCTCCATTTCTACTGTACTGTAGGGGCAGTAAACTATTCTGTATAAATGAGTAACGCAGACAGGATGTGAGGAAAGTGATGACACCCCTTGGATTTTCTGTCACAGAATTTGCTGCAGACTAAACACAAGAGTCTTCACTCTCTCCAAGGAATATGCTCTTTCCCTTTTCTTGGGGCAAGAGCCCTCAAGCTGTCTCCGTGTGGAGTAGATGCACACACAGGAAGACCTCTTAGGGTAAGAACAGTGGGGCAAGTGCCATAGTCCCCTGCCTCAAGGATGGGGCCACTGTAAGGAGTGGTGGAGACCAGGGGCAACTGGGGTACACTACCTTTTCCAGAGGGCTGCCCCAGTACTGCCTCTGGGAGTTTTGGGGGCAGAATACTTGAAATCTCTCAATTGTCGATGTTAGCTCAGCTTCATTTTTTTTTCCCCCAAACTCTGCACTGGACTGATAAAACATCTCAATTGGCACATGCCCCCAGTTTTAACCAGTATGGCACAAAAAAAAATAGTTTGCCTAAGGCTGGATGGGAGGGAACTCTGGGGGAGAATGGATGTATGTATATGTAAGGCTGAGTCACTTTGCGCACCTGAAACTATCACAACACTGTTAATGGGCTATCCTCCAACGTAAAACAGAAAGTTAAAAAAAAAAAAGATAGCTTGCCTAAACTAATCAACCAACTTTCTAGAGATGGAAGCTTTGCTGTTTGCTGGAGTTTGGACCAGCACAGAGGCTGGAAATAACGTAATCGCTAAGATCCAGCCGATCTAAGTTTGAATCCTGGCTCTCAGCTGCCAGACCTCAAGTGAACTACTAACCCCTCTTAGCTACAATTTCATCTGCAAAATGGGTTGAAAATATCCAATTTAAAGAGCTTTGTGAGAATTAAAAAGACACGTGTGAAGACGACTTGACTTCCTAACGAATATTACATTTCCTTCCCCCATATCGCCAAAGAAACCACCTGGCAAGCCATCCCTTCTTTAGATTTTCAACGTTCTCATCTGTTAAAAATGAAAATAATCCTCCAGCACGGCTGCTCCTCCTTACAGAATGGGATGAAGTGATGGAGATGAGAGGAGAGTGCTTATAAATTAGAAGATGATTACTGACTAGATTGCCAACACCCTTTTCTCTCATTTCTAGTCCAAAAAGTGGTATGTAATTTGCTTTTCAGTGTGTTTATACCCTTTTATAACACTATGCAAGAAGATGGTGTCACATTTGTGGTAATTCCTTAAAATGGCTATTAGCAATCAGCTCTCCAGAACCCAAACCCACCATCCTCTCACCAAGGAGAGCAAAGTTAGTTCACTCCCTGGTCACAGGGAGTGGCGAGTTTCTCTTCTCTCTCCCTGCTCTTGTTTTAGAGAATTGAGGTAGAAAATAAAAGCTACTTAACAGTTGCATTGTTCTTTTATTTACACAAAGAAAACCAAACCACAAGCTAAGCAATTCCACTTAAGGACCATCATGAATTCACTCCAACAGTAAGGGGATTTCATTTTCTCATGCACTACAAGGAAACTAGGAGGTGTTCTGGCATTTCCTCAACAGAACCTGACTTAAAGCATCTTTACAACTTTCATCCTAGTGAATCTATATGGGCAAGGCCTATGCTGAGGGATTCATCTAACACTTCAAGTTTCAGCTATCACAGATTTAACTTACTTGACCTTTTTCTCTTAAAAGAAAGGAGGCATTAAAATCAGTTTCACAGAAGCTACTGAGAAATGTGGGTTTATCTTTGAGGACTATGCCTCCCTTTCCTCCACTTTAATAGCTCCCTTGTACTTTTCCAAATTACTAATCAGGCATGACAGAATGAGTAGGAATTATAGGAGAAATCCAGCGGGGGTAAAAATAAGCAAGTTGGATGAATGTATCGATATGACTTCCCACGTCCCTCCTCTTGAAAACAGGCTTCTTGGAAAAGTGCAGAAATTTTAGAAACCAGTTTCTTGCTAAGTATTTACACTTCATGATACCTGAAGCAAACAAGGTGAGAACAGGAAGAAAGGATACACACACAGATAGGATCTCTTTCAGATAACAGGTAAATCTCTACTCACTTTTGTTTTCATAATGTTGACTTTTTATTGACGTATCTAGTGCTTCCAGAAGTGTACACAAACCCTAAGTGTGTATGATTTTATTCACTACTCTGAGCTCTGTTTTGTTGTTGTTGTTGAGTGTAACTTGGAAAGGATTTGAGCAGTTCAGAAAAACTGCTAACACATTTTACACAACCTGTCCGTTTGGAGGCAGCTCAACCCCCAGGCTTGCTAATACTCTTTGTATAAAAAAAAAAAAGGCTGACCCAGCATCCACCTGCATCAGCTTGATCCTCTCAGCTTTGTCACACTCAGCAAATAGGGTAGGCGGCACAGCAAAATAAAGCAGCACCCCCCAGAGGAAGAAAAAGACTTGTTGAGTGGAGAGACAGCCTTTACACCAAGTTAACAGTGAACACTTGTGGAAGGCTTTGAATCTAGAATCACCAGTGTTACCCTCCAAATCTGTCTTACACACACACACACACACACACACACAAAGCTCCACAGGTGGTGTTACTTTTCAAGGAAAATGCCATAAAAAAGTAGAGTCAGCAGTACAAAGCAGTCCCTACCCCAATACCCTTCATCCAGCTTCAACTATTAACAATTCATGTCCAGCCTCCATCTTGTTCCCCTTCACTTCTCCACTGGCAGCCCTCCCCCAAACTGGATTATTTTGCAGCAAATCCTGAACTTGTATTTCAAATTTAGAATGTATTTCTAACATCAAGGGTTTTTTAGAAACTGTAATCGGTATACCATTACCTAAAGCAACTAAACAAAACTAATATTCTTCATACTATAAAATAACGAGTACAAATTTCCCCTATTGGCACAATTAAACTTTTTTTCATCAAATAAGCACCCACCAAGGTTTACACCTCTCATTGCCCTCTTGTCTTTTAAACAGCTTTTAAACCACAGGTTCCCATGGCCCAAAGATTCTCACAGCTGGCAGGCTGCTCCTCACCTGAAATTCCCAATAATTCAATTCTAGAGATACCACAAAGACAACCCAGTCTTAGAGGCTGTCAAGGGGTAAAAAAAGCATATGTTAATTAGTAGTTTTGTCATTGAAGAAGCTTAAGAATAATCTGAAAAGCACTTGTGAAATGATTTGAACTGAAGCCATTAGCAATTCTGAGGTCCAAACACTCATTCCTAAGTCCTTTGCAATTCCAGTCTCTGGGTTTATCTCTGGGGTTTGAGCAACACTCTTCCCCCCAATCCCGCCCTTACCTGAGTCATTTGCACCAGCAAAGCAATAATGGGGTGAACCCAGCGTGTTTCCTCCCGGCTGGACCTTCCTCCGCGGGCCACGTCCTCGCGGCCGCCTCCGGAATGCAGTGGGCGGGCCCTGCTGCCACCTGCCCAGGTGAGAAACGGAGCTTCACTGAGACTACAAATTCCGGAGGGTTATTGAGAGAATTTTGAGCCATCTATCACCGTCACGGATGAACCAACCAGAACACCACGGTCTCTGGGAACAAACAGCCTGAAAAGTCCTCGGCCTTAATCCCAGTGTCCGGGGCTCGCGGGGTACCGTCCCCAACGCCCGGGGGCCAGGAGACTGGACGCCCAACGAAGTCCAACCCAAAGAACACACGAGCAGGTGCGTGCGCGACTATACGCCCACCTGTGTGTGCCAGGAAGGCAAGTCACACTATTGCTAAAACATCAACTGTTTCATAATGTTTAACAGTTTTCTCCTCGGCGAAGGGGGTGCGGACCAACCCAGACCACCGGTTCCATGCCCGCACCCCAGTCCCGGAGCCCCAAACCCGGGACCGACCCCAGGCGCGAAGACTACGACCACCCCTCAGCCGGACGCGTCAGGTTCGGGCGTCCTCGGCTTTCAATTCAGGGCCCCTATCCTCTCCAAGGACTAGACAAGCCCAGCCTCTGAATCCTGGGGAAAGAAATTCCTCTCCCTCCCCTAAGCGCAGAGCGCCGCCGAGGAAGCCGGGAGCGACGCGGTACCGCCGGCGCCCCGGAATCCCCGGTGGGGAAGCGGCGGCGAGACGCCGGGCGCCGATTCCCGCAACTCACCCGATGCGCGGCGACTCCCGCCTAGCGCTCCGCGTCCGAGGCGCTGGCGCCGGACCAGACCCGCGACGAGGTCGCCGTCTGGACACCTGCCGCACCCGGCCCAGGTGACCACGGACAGGTGTGGGCAGCGAGCACCGACCGCCGTAACCCGCAATAAGCCCGCGGTCACTCCGCGCGCCGCTACCAGGAAGTGCGGACGCAGCCCTTCGAACGCGCACGCCCCGTCGCGACCCCGGCGGGAGACCGGCCCGAGAGCGCCGCCTGCGGGCGGGGCGGCGAGAGGCGTGCGAGGCCAGCCACCTCGACCCGCAGGAGAGAGGCTGGGGTCGGCGCTGGCACGGCGGACGCCCCAAGGGTGTGGGGTGGAAGATGAGACCCCGTTTTGAGTGCCGGGCCTTCAGACCTCCCTACTCCTGCCCAAGAAGCTCCCATGTCCTCAGCAGGATGGGCATGCGGCCACTATCAGTTTCCTCCAGATGAGGGTATGCACAGGGTGACAGAACTTCATGCAAACAAACGTATGTGAATCCACATTTTAAAATAAAACTGCAAATTGCATATTTGCAAGTAGTACATTTTTATTGCACTACCTTTTTCTCTGTCAGCATTACTAATTTGTTATATTTATTCAACAAAATACTTGTTGGGTACCCACGACTTGCCAATCCTTTAAACAGAATGGGAATTTAATATAATCAAATTATATTAAATTATATAATATATAGGATATTATATGAAATTCCTATCCTTTAAAATACAGGATAGGAATTCCCTAGCCATCCAGTGCTTAGGACTCTGTGCTTCCACTGAGAAGCACACGTTGGATCTCTGGTGAGAGAACAGTGTCACATGCAGCCAGTAAGAGCAAAAAAAGAAAGAAAGAAAGAAAACCACAATTTTCTCCTCATGCTTTTCCTGAAGAGCGTTGAACAAGAGGAGTGGCCTGGGTCTTTCTTAACCTCCCAGAAAGAGTTTACTGATCTTACAAGGAACTTAGCAACAGCCTGCCCGAAGGTGCAGTAAGAACTGAACTGTGACAGAAGTGTGGGCTCCTGGGGGCTCTGAGGAGCAGCCTGACCCAACCTGGGGAGGTCAGAGGCGAATTTCTGGAGAAGGGGAGAGGTGTGCTGAGTCCCGAAGGACTACAGGGTTCACCAGAACTGAAGTATTTCAGCCAACATTCCACCCTGAGCAAACTCAGAAGCCAAAAGCTGGCCAGAGAGGGCATGTTCTGATAGAGGAATAGCAAATGGGTCAGGATAGCTGAGAAGAAGAGGATGTGAACTGAGTTAGAGCAGGGGTGTGGGGGCCAGATCATGCTCCTATCAAACATAACAGCCTCCAGCTATGGAGTGTGTAGTATAAAACAGGAACTGGACATGCATCACTTCAAACTACGTGATATAGGGTTATTGCTGCTAAAGTCACTTCAGTCGTGTCCGACTTTGTGCAACCCCATAGACGGCAGCCCACCAGGCTCCCCCGTCCCTGGGATTCTCCAGGCAAGAACACTGGAGTGGGTTGCCATTTCCTTCTCCAATGCATGAAAGTGAAAAATGAAAGTGAAGTCTCTCAGTCGTGTCCGACTCTTAGTGACCCCATGGACTGCAGCCCACCAGGCTCCTCCGTCCACGGGATTTTCCAGGCAAGAGTACTGGAGTGGGGTGCCATTGCCTTCTCCGAATGGGTTATTACTCCCCTTTAAAGGAGACAAAAACAAGGCCTAGGATGGTGAGGTGTCTTGCTAGTGGCACAGCTGGGAGGGGGTGATCCTCAGGAGCTAGCCTGCATTCCTAATGATACTTTCCGGGTTAATCCAAGAGGCTGAATTATCTTCAAACGTTCTCAGCATCCTCAAGTATCTCCAGATGCCCACTGCTGTCTCCCCATTCCAAAGCCTGTATCAACAACTGCCCTCAGATCCCCTCCTGTCAAGAACAGATTCCAGAGCATGTGGCTGTGCACACCAGACTCTTTCCCAAAGGAAACTGGGTTTCAGGGACCAGTGGAAGGACTGGGGCAGAGCCCTTTCCTGTTCCCTAACAGCCATTCTCTCCTTCTTCCATAATAATAGAATTGAAGCTGAGCCCAGAGATGCTTAGGACAAAGGCTACATTTCCCTTCCTCCCTTGCGGCAAAATACACCAACAGTGGTGCCCAGGGCCCCTGTTATCCACTCAACCCAGCAGAACTTCTGAGGCAGCTGTTTCTCCCCCAATATGTCAGTTTTTTTTTTCCCCATGGGGCAGACCCTGCTTACTGCCTCCTCAATATCCATTCCCCCTTTTCTCCTTTCTAAGAGAGCTCAGAATTTGTTCCAGAAGGCAACGTGTGGAGCTGAAATGCCCACCTTCCCAGAAGCCCTTGCAGGGCAGCCACACGACTCGATTCCTGTCAGTGAGGTGGAGAGGGAAGGTATCTAGAGATTCCCGAGAAGGATTTTGCTTTCCTGAAGTGGACACCACCACCTTTCTCCTTCTGTTTTATCCTGGCTGTGAGGTTGCTGTGAGCTTGGAAGGTGAGCAACCGTCTTACGACCACAGGACAACACACAAGGCAAAAGGAGGCGCTGCAGCTACTGCAGACTGCCAAGTGCCAGGCTTATTTCGTGAGAAAAATCATCCCTTTCCTTTTTTAAAGCACTCTTGGTCTGTTGCAAGCAATTGAATGCAATCCTAATGGATATACTGTTCTTTTCAAAGAAAAGCCTCAGAAATCAGTCTAGCCAACCCTACCTAAAACAGTGTGATAGCAGAAAGAAGGTGGGATTTGGCATGAGACAAATCTATGAATTTCATCTCTTCCATTTAGTTAGCTAATGACCTTTGGCAATTTTGTAAAATTAGATTACTTACTGTAAAATTAGAAATTGTCTTAAGAATACAAAGCACAGTGCTTCCTGGCACATGGTGAGTGATTAATAAATGATCAGTTTAGAGCCTCCACTAAGTGGATGCCTGGCCAATATGTAGATTCAGAATCCCGTATCCACTTACTATTCAGAATCCACGTATCCACTATTGTCACTCCTTAGATAAATCTTTTGTCTATTCAGATCTTAGATGCTTCTAATAGCAAAGTTAGTCTTAAAGTTTCAGTAAAAACCAGCCCTTGCCTAGCATCTTGCTTCCTCATTTCCTAGAAAATATACACTCTACCAAAATTTTTTAAAAGGAAAAGAAGCACAGACTTTGTATTGACCAACCATGAATTATTGGTATACTAATTTAGCAAGTACACCTGTATATTTCTGTTTAGCTCTCTTTTTAAAAATAAGAACATCTAATTTCAATGCTTCTAGGTTTGTATTTTTAATTACCAAACAAGATGTTTTAATAGTCCAAAAACATGCTTTTGTTGAAACTGCAACATATTCTTCTATGCTGAAGTTGAATAATATTAAAAATTAGTATTGTTCACTTTGGCTTTTAATTTTAAAAATAATACATTCTTTCCATCACTACAGAAGTTTCTAAGTTAAAAAAAAAAGATGTACCATAATTTATTTAACCTGTATTGACTATGCCAAAGCCTTTGACTGTGTGGATCACAATAAACTGTGGAAAATTCTGAAAGAGATGCGAATACCAGACCACTTGACCTGCCTCTTGAGAAATCTGTATGCAGGTCAGGAAGCAACAGTTAGAACTGGACTTGGAACAACACACTGATTCCAAATAGGAAAAGGAGTATGTCAAGGCTGTATATTGTCACTCTACTTATTTAACTTATATGCAGAGTACATCATGAGAAATGCTGGGTTGGAGAAAGCACAAGCTGGAATCAAGATTGCTGGGAGAACTATCAATAACCTCAGATATCAGATGACACCACCCTTGTGGCAGAAAGTGAAGAGGAACTAAAGAGCCTCTTGATGAAAGTGAAAGAGGAGAGTGAAAAAGTTGGCTTAAAGCTCAACATTCAGAAAACTAAGATCATGGCATCTGGTCCCATCACTTCATGGCAAATAGATGGGGAAACAGTGGCCACAGTGGCTGACTTTATTTTTCTGGGCTCCAAAATCACTGTAGATGGTGATTGCAGCCATGAAATTAAAGGACGCTTACTCCTTGGAAGGAAAGTTATGACCAACCTAGACAGAATATTAAAAAGCAGAGACATTACTTTGCCAACAAAGGTCCATCTAGTCAAGGCTACGGTTTTTCCGGTGGTCATGTATGGACGTGAGAGTTGGACTATAAAGAAAGCTGAGCGCTTTTGAACTGCAGTGTTGGAGAATACTCTTGAGAGTCTTGGACTGCAAGGAGATCCAACCAGCCCATCCTAAAGGAGATCAGCTCTGGGTGTTCATTGGAGGGACTGATGTTGAAGTTGAAACTCCAATACTTTGGCCACCTGATGCAAAGAGCTGACTCATTTGAAAAGACCCTGATCCTGGGAAAGATTGAGGGCAGGAGGAGAAGGGGATGACAGAGAATGAGATGGTTAGATGGCATCACCAACTCAATGGACATGGGTTTGGGTAAACTCCGGGAGTTGGTGATGGACAGGGAGGCCTGGCGTGCTGCAGTTCATGGGGTCACAAAGAGTCGGACACGACTGAGCGACTGAACTGAACTGAACTGAACTATTAATGGACATTTAGGTTATCTCCAGTTTATCTCACTTACAAACAACATTGTCTTGAACATCTTTGTCCCTACACTTTTGCCCATTTGTGTAATCTGACCACATCTCCCCACTTTACTGCTTCCTTTCCAGGTGCAAGCCACCATCCATCTCCTGACTGGATTATTGGAATAGCCTCCTGAATGGCTCCCTGTTTCTGTCCTTGTCCTTTCTGTCCTCCAGCAACCCAGCAGCTGGAACAATCTTCTTTTTTTTTTTTTGGCTGTGCTGCACAGTTTTCAGGACCTTATTTCCACCATCAGGGATCAAACCCTGGCTCTCAGCAGTGAAAGCACAGAGTCTTAACCACCGGACCACCAAGGAATTACCTGGACTAGTTATTTTAGAATGTAGGTCAGATAATGTCCCTCTCTGGTGAAAACTTTCCAGTGGCTTCCCTCTGATTCAAAGTCCTTACAATAGTCTGCAGAGCTCCATGGGGGCCCCCTTTGCCATTACCTCTCTGTATCATCTCCTTCCACACTCCCCTCTCTGCTCCAGCCAGCCCACAAGGTTCTCTGGTGGTTCATTTGAATATGCCAGGTAGACATCTGCCTCAGGGTCTTTACACTTGCTATCTCTTTTTAGATCTCTTGGAACTCTCTTCTTCCAAATAACACATGACTTATCTTTCACTTTTTTCAGGTCTTAACCTAGTTTTGTTTTTAATGGTTAACACATGGGGAGGTTAACATGGGCCAGCCATCTCGTTCTAAGCATTTTGCATGTATTACTTCATTTAATCATTACCGCCACC